CGCGGAAGGACATTTTGACAATTTTTTCTTAAAAAACCATTGGGTTTTTGATTTTTTTATGTTAAAATCGCTACGAAACCTAAGGTTTTGGAAGGATTTCGTCTTGCGCGCACGAATGTCCACTTTACCTTATTTTTTGCAAGGGATTCTTGCAATTTGATCAAGTAAAAACAAGAATTTTCATTTTCTATTGTTTTTTTTGCAAGGGAAAACGAGCGTCAACAAAAAACCGGATCCGGAGCTCATCCACTTTTCTGAAGCTTTCGCGAAAAAATGATGAAAATGTAGCTGCGGCCTAGGCGCGGCGCAGAGGTCGCGCACCAGGGGTCCCAACAATAATAATTCTTTAGAAGGAATAATGTTCAACAACAATCATCATGCTAAAACTGTTCGCTCTTATCTGCTCGAGTGTCATTCAACGTGTATTTCCAAAACCCTCGATACCCGCCCGTTTCGATCGTACCCCTTTTGAGGGGGGGGGCGGTGGGGGGGGGGGGGGGGGGGGGGGGGGGGGGGGGGGGGGGTTGGGGGGGGGGGGGATGGGGGGGGGGCTGGGGGGGGGGGGGGGGTTGGGGGGGGGGTGTGGGGGGGGGGGGGGGGGGGGGGGGGGGGGGGGGGGGGGGGTGGGGGGGGGGTGGGGGAGGGGGTAATGTTTCTTAGGAGGAGCCCGGCAAGGTCCGGCCCCGGCAAGCAGCGGGGCGGCCGCGGACCGTCGGCCCAACCAGCGGCAGCGCTCATCGGCGGCAACCCGACCCAAAGACGGAAGGACAGGGGACCGACCACGACGACGACGACGATGACGACGACGACGACGACGACGACGAAGAGCGAAAGCGAGAGCGAGAGCGAGCGCGAGAGCGAGAGCGAGAGCGAGAGCGACAGCGGGGCCACGAAGGGCAGGAAGGGGGCCACGAAGGGCGACACGGGGGCCACGAAGGTCATGCGTACGGGGCCACGAAGGGCACGCACGGGGGCCGCGAAGGGCAGATAATGCAAGGCCACGGAAGGCAAGGACGGGGCCACTGAGGGCAGCAACGGGGCCACCGAAGGGGAGCAAAGGGGCCACGAAGGGCGACAACGGGGCTACGGAGGGCATGCTTATGGGGCCACGACGGGCGCGTACGAACGGGACCCACGAATGGCAGCGAGGGGCCACAAAGGGCGACAGCGGGGCCACGAAGGGCAGCGAGGGGGCCACGAAGGGCGTGAACAAGCGGGGGCCACGAGGGGCATACGTGTATCAGGCCGCTGAAGCCAAGGACGGGGCCACTAAAGGCAGCAGCGGGGCCACGAAGCGCATGCATATGGGGCCACCAACGGCAGCAGCGGGGCCACGAAGCGCATGCAGATGGGGCCACGACGGGCGCGTATGAGCGGGGGCCACGAACAGCATGGATGTATGGGACCGAGAAGGGGACCACGAAGGGAAGCGACGGGGGCCACGAAGGGCTGCAACGGGGCCAGGAATAGCAGCGATGGGGCCACGAAAGGCTGCAACGGGGCCACGATGGGCAGCGAGGGGGCCACGAAGGGCTGCAACGGGGCAACGAAGGGCAACGAGGTGGCCACGAAGCGCGGCAACGGGGCCACGAAGGGCAGCGGGGGGGCCACGAAGGGCTGCAACGGTGCCAGGAAACAAAGCGAGGCGGCCACGAAGGGCCACGAAAGGCACCGAGGGGGCCACGAAGGGCTACAACGGGTCCACGAAGGGCAGCGAGGGGGCCACGAAGGGCTGCAACGTGACCACGGGCAGCAAAAGGGGCCACGAAAGGCTGCAACGGGGCCACGAAGGGCAGCGAGGGGGCCACGAAGGGCTGCAACGGGGCCACGAAGGGCAACGAGATCCCGATTCCTCAGTAAGCTGCGAGACAGTCCTAAGCGTGAGCGCGACTCCTGGGTGCCTGAACGTCGGGAGTGCGGCGCTTGAGTAAATTGCAGGACATTCGGGCGCGCTTCTTGAGTAAATTGCCACAAAATCCCCAGCGAGAGCGCGATTCCAGAGCGCCGAGAGAGCGATTCCAGATTAAGTTGTAAGGAAGTCCCAAGCGACAGCGCGATTCCGGAGTAAAACGCGGGGCGAGCACAAGCGGGAGCGGGGGTCCTGGCTAAATTGCAAGGAAATATCTGGCGTTGTTGTTGTAGTCCCGGGCCAACAAAGCAGGTTGAGCCCCATGACCTTGCCTGATGCAAAAACACGGCGCGAGCCCTAGGGGAAGCACTTCAATTGAAAAACACAACAGTCACCGGAGGGGGATCAACAATAAATGTTATTCAACAATGAAACAACAACAACAACAACAACAACAACAACAACAACAACAACAACAACAACAACAACAATCATTTTACCCGAACGCTCAGTGTTCTCACCAGTGCCAGGGTTTTCATGCGACGCGAGACAATACCCCCACTTCGTGGGGGGGCAGTTCAAGCTCTACCAAATATCCAAACGACTCTTCGCGACCACCCAAACCCAGCTTCCCGCCCTATGACGTTGGGA